GGTCCCGGTCCGGTACGGGCGCGACACTGAGGGTTGCGATCCGTTGCCGGACACGAAAAAAGACAAAAAACCCCCCAAAAAACCCCAAAAAACTATGATATGTTTCATCTTAGAATTGTGCTAAATTTGTAAAAAGAATGGGAAAGTTTTTATCTATCCTTCCCCCTATGCCCGGGAACTATGTTTTTTAATATGGAAATTATTTGTTTCCTAACCATTTCAAAGAATTTTACCTATAAAATCATGAAGTCTAGAATTCCTCTTTGATGGTGATAATATGACAACTTTCCCATTTTCTTCCTTTGATGAGTCATTGAGATTTTCAATTTATAAGCACAGCATTTAATTATGCCTTGCTATTCACATACACTTGGTTCCTAAGTATGGACAGTGAGAATTCTGGAAGTCTCACCTCAAAGACACTTGCACACAGTTCTTTTTTGACTTAAAAAAGCTCATTCCTAGTTCTGTGAACTGGCATTGTCCTTCCTTTTCTCAAGATTAGACTTGCAAAAGAACAGTCTGTTTTAATATTTTTTGCCTTTTCTGTTTTCTAATTATTACTATTTTTACTTTTATTTCCTCCCTATTGTTTTAACACTTGTTTTATATATTTTTCTGATTAAGATTTTAAAATGTGGGGTTTTTTTTGTTCACCAATGTATTTCAACTGTCTAGAGTAGGTGTTCAGATATCTCCTGAATGAACTGAATCTGCCTCTGAGATCAGCTTTGTCAACATGGCTTAAAGCCACTCTTTGGTAATTTATAATTACATATTTGATGCTCATTTAACATAAAAGTTACTTAGAACATATGTTTTTTAAAATTTCCAAGCAAGTAAAGGTTATTAGTATAATATCTTAATATTAATTTATAACTTTAACTACAAAGAATGTGGCTTATAAACATTCTACTTTTTGGAATCTACCAAGGTTTTATCTATGGCGCAAGGACCATTTTTTCCACCAAATAGCCCATAAATATTTAAAACGAATGTGCATTCCTATCGGTACAAAAGTTGATACATAGTCTAATTGTGGTCTACTATGCTCCCGTTAATTCCTCTTTGATCTCAAATAGTGTTGCTTTATACACTTCAATGACATCTTATTTAATTCATAAAGAATCAAGGTTAGGTTTTCATCGCAATCTTTATCTTTAAGACAATACAGAATGAAACTTTTTATCATAACTGTTTTTTTATTTTTTTTAAAACACTGAATTCTACTCTGTCCAATATTAATAGGACTACCCTTATCCTTTCTTTTTTTTTCCTTTTTGTGGCCTTTATTTCATGTCTTTGCCCATCCCATATTTTCACTTACCTTTTGTGGTTATTTAATTTTAGGTATGTTTCCCATAAATGTATAGGGTTTCTTCCTTTGATTTTTTTTTTTTTTTACTCAATCTTTACAGTCTTCAACTTTTAATACAGTAGTTTTAACTTATTCACATTAATTGTGATAAATGAAGGTCTGACATTGGCTTTGTAATTTTGTTTTACTATATTTTGTTTTCTTGCTGTTTCCTTGATTTTCTCTCCATCTTTTGCCATACATACTGTTTTCTTTGCTCATTTTCATTATTTCAATGATTTGAACTTACATATTCCATTTATTAGAGGTTTCTTCTACATTTTTAATAAACATACTGGAACCTGTTTTTCCTTTACTGACAATGCCAAGAATGAAATAATATCTATGGATGCATCCCACAATGGATTATGAATTTAATATGCATTGAAGTACTAGTTCAAATTGATATTTTCTAGCATGTCGAATGCCAAATACAGAGTATGACAGATTTCCTAGACTGGTTGTTTAGATGCAAAGTGATAACACTGGATGGATTAATACCTGGCTGTACCATCACAGGTGTTCGAATAATTGCCTTTCCTAGTGTTGACTGTTGGAGTGGTGTTCTGATCACCGTCATACCAGGGCGGATCTGAGGCCCTGTGATGACCTATAAATGACACAAAAGACAATGAATGAAAATGTTTTTACAAGACTAAAGCATGATGGACTTAGAACACAAGATCTTTAAACATTCTATACTGATAAAAATGTCTACAGAAATGACAGAGGCTTGTGGACATTACATTTTAAATATATTCAGTATCAGAATAAAGATGGAATTTTGAGGAGAGAAAATTAAATTTAATTCAAAGGAGATCATATGAAATTCCTTGCCACAGACATCAAGAACAGCCTACAGACTAACAGGAAGAAACAAGACCCAGCAAGGCTCTGTTCTGTATCTACTGCTCACAGGAAAATGCTGAGTCCTGTCTTCTCTAAGCTCCAGTCCATAGCTGCAACCCAGAGAATTTAATAGTAAGATCAGAAACCAAAAGTTCTCTCATAGTTTTAAAGGAGACACTAGAGAGCATGTTATTTTCAGTCTTATAGTTATGTTCAGAACATTTTCAAGTCTATAAAACTTTAGACCTTTTCCATAATAGCAGCACCAAAGAAATGATGTATTTAACACGTGCACATATCAGCTGATAACAAACCAGTTATAGTGCTATAGATTGTATTTTTCGTTCTATTTCTTAACTACACTACATAGCACATTTCCCTATGTGGTCCACTGCTGTCCATTGTTTTATGTAAACGAATTTTCTTTATAAAATCATAGAAAGCAATTATTATTATTTACAAACTATATTAATGTGCTATTAATTACCTGTTAAAAATTAATACTTCATGTATCATTTTTACTTTTCAGGAAAAAAAAAAAAGATTTTTCCCAAATCAGTATTTTGGCAGAGACTGAATAAAAGGCAAAGGAAAATTAGCTGGATTAATCTTGGTAGAAGCCATTCTACAAATTTCAACCTGATGCGCTCAACATTTCAAAACAAAAGAAGCCTGTGAAGAATTCTTACTTGTGAAGTGCTTGTGGTTCCTCCAGAGCCTGAGGTATTGGGCCTAATGGTGACTGTTGCCGTCCTGGGCTGGAATGAAGTAAAGGTTTGTTGGCTTGTACCTGTACTTGATGGAATGATACCCAGGACTTTCTGCTGTACTTGAACAACACCTTAAAAAAGATGAAGAAATAATTAACAAGAGTCCCTTTAATGAAAAGCATTAAGCGTTGCTCAGTTTTGAGGAGAAACTATGTGTGGCAGGGGTTTATAGTGGGCTACACAGAATGTGAGATCCGAGGACTGAAATCAGTGGAAAGGAAATGAAAAATAATGGCAACAGTATGATCTGGCAAATGTGAATTAACACTCTTCACATTTCCCTTACCTCCTTGGGTTGCTGGCACATTTACAGCGACAATCTTGCTGTTTGCAGGAAGTGGCAGTTTGGTAATTACTTTTCCTGCCATAGTGACTGGATTGCCTGTAATTTGGAACGTCTGACCTGTGCTGGCAATGGTTGTAGCAGATGTGGCAGCTGTGCTGGTGGCTAATGGGGTATAAGACATTTAATAAGCTTTAGATTTAAAATAACCAGCAACGTAGTGACTTCTAGGAAGGGCACCAATGCATGAAATGTGGCTCATTCTGTATTTTTAATAAAAACATTCCTCTCCACTCAAAGTGAGCTATGTAAATGTTGAAAGTGAAGTAATGTAAGAGAGGAGTTTTGCTAATGTAATTTTATGAATATAATCTGCAATGAACCAACTGTTACAGCTTGTTTGTTCAATCAGCTGCAGAAGAAAAACAATTTTCTAAAGAAATGTTTCATTTCAGTAAGTAAAGAATTGAAAATTTTTTCCTGAATGAAAGCAATCTTTTATTTAATCACGGTTGTTTACCTGAATTGGACTGGCCCTGCTTAACCCATGTAGCAAAGGTCTGATGGAAGTTCTTGTTTTGCTGGAATGTTACTGTAGCTGGAGATCCAACTTTGGTAGTCAGTACCATTTTAGTTCCAGTTGTAACTGAGCCACTTATGGGGGCCACCATGACTTTCTGTGCTGGAGAGATGGTACTGGTCGTACTGTTTGTTGGGGATGTAGTTGAAGCTGCAATTACTGTAGGCTTCTGTTGTTCCAATCGTTTCTAAAAATGTCAGAAAGAGAAAATATGTTTTAAATAAAAACAGTATCATTCTGCAAGAAGTCCAGCCACAATGTCTCTCAGCCTAAGAAACCACACCAAATTTCCAAGTTATTTTGCTGCTAAAAAGAAAATATGCCCATATAAATTTACCCTTGAATTTAATTTCATGTCTCTATGTCACATATATGACGGATCTTCAAAAAGTTCATGGCAAGATTTGCATTATCTTTCAATTCTATTTCTCCAGAAACTTTTTGAAATACCCTTGTATTTTATGAATAACTAAGTTATTCATAACAGAAAATTTAATGTGATCAAGTTTTTCTGGTCTGTACAAACATCCAAGCTTCAAACTGAAACTACAAGAGATGGGGGTAATCTGGAACACCTTGCTGTTCAGTGGTGAGAGTCACCACTAATGATAAGAGCAGCAAAAGGTTTCTGTTCTACTGCCAAGTTAATTTATTCAGTCATAAAGAGTATGTCAATATTTACCATCGGTAGCTTTATGACTATCAATTATAGCAAGCCCTTATTGAGTTTTAGTACCATTTGCTTTTTCATAGACTATAGAGATCGGAATTTTGCAGGAAAAAATTATTTCTAGAAACTACCCTACCCATGGAATTGTAAAGATAATAAATAATTGAAATCTTATTTCAAATGTCCTCCAAATATGTAAAACCACAGCTTGATGTATACACAGAACTATTTTTAAATTTTGTTTATAATTGACATAATAATTGCACATGTTTATGGGGTACAGTGTGATGTTTCAAGTTGGCAAACCTACATTCAAGCAAGCTGAAAATAAAAAAATTTTTCTAGACTTCTTATGTTATTCAGTTCAAACATTTTTACAGAAAAGTACTTTATTTTATATACTGATATAATCTCATCTCTAAAAATTACATGTTTATTAATGAGAATTGGTATATCTTTTATTATAGATTGCTGAAATTTTCTAACAGCTTCTCAATAGTGGTCTGTTGAGTAATAGGGTGAGCTTATGCATGTAAAAACAATAGGCAGGACTTATTGTAAATCTTGTGGCAGATGCTTTGCCTTCATTATCTTATTTAATGTTCATATCAACCCAATATGATTTCTAGTATTGTGACTTTACGGATGAAGAAAATGAAGTTCAGACAGGTTACATAACCGGCTCAAGGCCACAGAGCTGAGATAGGTAATGATGGAGCTGGGATGTCTAGTAATATCAAATTCCAATGCTGCACTATCTCTTGCCATTGCAAACTGCTTACCTATGACATCACATCAATTTTTTTAGGACTAGTTTTGTACATACCCTATATACCTGAATATAATGAGAGGTAGTTCACATAATTTTTCATTCCTCAGAAGAAAAGGAGTTTAGTTTTGGATACTTAGAAATATCACCTGATCAAATCAGTTTAAAGAAAAAAAAAGGAGGCAAAGAAACTAAACACATATTTAGCATTTACTGGGGGATATGCTTTCAAAATTGGAAGTGTTAGCTATTTTTGTAAATAAGCATTTCAAAGAAATTTTAAAAACTAATACCTAAATTAGGTTACATTGCAGAGATGACAAAACACACTCATAAAATGAAAAACAAAACTAGCCAGTTGTTATATGAATAGATATTTGTGTTTCAAGATAAACTTCCTGTGAAAGGTAGCATCATACGTAGACTCTAAAAGTGCTGTTATCTACCTCAAACTTTGATTTAAGTGGAGATAAGGACCTACAGTAAGCCGAAAGTTACACAATTTGAAAACTGTTTTATAAAATGTGAGAGAAAAAAGTATTTTGAAATGAACACTTTAGTTTATGTATGTGATTTTTAAATAATTGTGTGACTATATTCATAATACTGTAAATACATGTACTTATTTCATCTATATTCTCAAAGTTTATATATACAAATTGGGTAAAAACTTTTATAGTATTTTCTCAATAGGAATAAGGGGTCCCAAGTATTTAGGCACATAAGGTATATTATTTACAGTATAAAAACGTTAAGAAACCATCAGTAACTTTATGATTATTAATTACAATAAACTCTTTTACAGTTTCAGTACAATTTGCTTTTCATAGACTATAGAGATTGGGAGATTCATTTTGCAGGAAAAAATTATTTCTAGAAACTACCCATGGAATTATAAAGATAAAAAATAGAAATCTTATTTCAATGTCCTCCAAATATGTACAGTTCTTGCAAACCCACAGCTTGGTGTACCTACAGAGCTATTTTTAAATTTTGTTTATAACTGACATATATTAACTATACATGTTTACGGGATACAGTGTGATGTTTCAATACATTGTCTAACGATCAAATCAGAGTAGGTAGCATATCCATCGCCTAAACATTTATCATTTCTTTGTGGTGATAATATTTCAGATCCTCTTTTCTAACTATCTTGAAATATACAATACAATATTATTAGCAATAGTCACCCTACTAAGTAACACGAAACCAGAACTTACTCTTGCTATCTAACTGCAACTTTGTACCCATTGACCAACCTCTCCCCATCCTCCCTCCCCACCCCAACAGAGCTAATTTCAAGTAATGAAATTAAGATATATGTGAGATACACTTTAAAAAACCCACATGAGTATATTATCATTGTGCTTTTGGTGTGCATGAATTTGGCTAAAAATGTAAATGTGTGGTCAGGTGGGACTAGTACCAACTTCCCCACCTGCTGGGCAGACAATGGCTGCTGTTTTAGGGGAGCCTCTGTTTGGGCCTTGAAGTCCTCCACCTTCTTCTGTTCACTAACCTTAGCCTGTTGCTCAACTGCTTGTGCCTTTTCTTTCTCCACTCTGCAGGAAAAAAAGGAAAACTTATCAGGAACTACCCTACTAGGCATTGGCAGCTAATATAAGTGAAACCTGGTTGACTTGCACATCATATAAATGCATGAAATTATTTCAATTTAAAAGTAAAACAGTTAAAATTGTAAGAAACTTGACGAATGGATAACAACACATGAAAAATTAGAAACAGGGGCTGGCTATTTAGCTCAGTTGGTTAGAGTGTGGTGTTATACCACAGAGATCAAGGGTTCAGATCTCCTTACTGGCCAGCCACAAAAAAAGAAAAAAAAAAACCCCATAAAAACAGGACCTTAAAACACTATACACAGCTAGCACTTAAATCAATAGGTGGAGTGAAATTTACTAGGCTGTACCGAATAAACTATTAAAGTGATAATTCTTTAATTCTGAAGTGATAAAAATCTTCAAATATCTGACCAGGTGTTAACCATTTCCTTACCTCTCAGCAAATGCCCTGATCTCCCATAATTCCAACTCTTCTTCTGCTACCCAAGTTTCAATAATAACAGGGCCAGTTTGTTTGGGCGTTTCTGGTCTCTTTGGCCGCAATGCACTTGATCGAAGGCCTTTCCTCTGAGGTGTAGGTGTTTCTTTGGAAAAAAAAAATCAGAGTATTTTAAGCAATAAAGCTACCAAAATTAGAGTAGTCTGGCATCTCCTATCATGAAAAGCAGTGTTTGGCAAACTTTCTTCTTAAAGGGCCAGATGGTATAAAGGGCCAGATGGTATAAAAACTATGTAGGCCAGATGGTCTCTGTTGCAACTACTCAACTCTGCTTTTGCATCACAAAAGGAGCTAAAGACAATACATAAATGAGTAAGTGTGGTTGTCCTCCCATCAAACTTTATTTACTAAAGCAGGCAGTGGGCCAAGGCTCATGGGCCATGGTTTGCAGACCACTGATATAAGACCTATGAGCCTTTACACAACCTGTTTCCTCTGCCTGGAACACTATTTCTAGACACCCCTCCCCTTCATTTGACTAATGCCGATGCATTCTTTAGACCCCAACACAGGTACAACTTCCTTCAAAAGCCTGGTGTGCTCCCCTCACAGCTGGATTGGGTGTCCTTGCCATGTACAACTATGGCAATATATATTTCCCCATCACACACTGAGAAGGGGGATTTTGAGAGTTACCAGTATAAATGGGAGATCTGAAACTATTAAGAATAGATAAAATCTCCTAGTAAGATTTAGAAAATAAAAGAATAGGAAGGGACAAGCAATGAACCTTCCCATATGTTCAGGGAACAAGGAGAAGGAAAGTGTATCAGTGATAGGACCTGGACCATACAAAGTGACACAAGCCAAGAAAAAGTGATTGGAGGAGACCGCGGTGGTTTGCATTGAAGGCTGTGGGGATAAGGAGATTAAAGACCTGTCAGGAATATCTTCTCCCATCTGTGTCTCTGCCTATCAACTGAGCTGTTCATTTCTGTGCTAGGACAACATGGTTTTAATTATGCTAATACTTTACCATCTACTAGGACAGGTGCCACCTTATTGATGTTCTTTTCAAAATAGTCATTTTTAGTCATTTACTCTCCAAGATAAACCTTCAAGTTAATTTAATCAAGCTTCAAATATTAAATGTATATGCTTGGGCAGAACTAACTTTTATAAAATGGTATGTTTCTATCTAAGGACATATTTGTTTTTACACATCTTTTAATAGATTTTTTCCTAAATATTTTTATTGGTCATATAAAATAAAATTATTGACTTCTGTCTATTCGTATATCTTCAATTTAGACACCTCATTGAACTTCTTTTAGGGTTAATACTTTTGATTCTTGTGAATTTTCTAGGCAGACATTCATAATTATCTGCGAGATGTTAATCTTGCTGCTTCTCCAATATTTATCATTTATTAATCTTTCTTATGTTAACACATTAACACTATAACTTTTTCTTTGCTTCTTTGAGAACAAAGAAGGTCGGGTCGGTTCTCATTCTTCCATGTATTTGCCACTCTGTGCTTATTACGTAGATGCTCTATAAATGTTTCCTGAGTACCTCTTTATGCCTCTTAGATTATTTCTACCCAGAGCACTTATGTATTTCACAACAGTTTTAACCCTTGAGTCAACAAATCTTTACTGATCACCTATAAGTCAGACTCTGCTCTAGATGCCAGGACTGCAACAAACAAGACAGACTAGGCGACTGCCCTCGTGGAGTTGATGGCCTGGTGTCAACCAACGCCCCAACATCTTAATTACAAAAGGTATTATTATACCTCTTTGCCCCCTACAAGGGTTTGGCACAGTACCTGCAGGCATCAATGTTTGCCTAATGGAATCTTGATGTGAACACTACTTAAATATCATTTTTAAAATATATAGTAGTAGTGAAAAAATACCTTTTTCAAAAATTGAATAGAGAGTTGAGGAAACAATTATAATCAAATTTCAATTCATAAAAGAAAAGGCTAACAGGTCAATAATAAAAGAATAGAATTATTTTTTTCCTTACCTTTTGGTGCTTCTGGAACTCCAATAGGGCAAATGATTTTCCTGATACAATATTCTGATCGAATGCCATAAGGACCAACGTCTCGTCGCTTAATTATTTCTGTTGTTGTGATTTCAGTTTCAGATGTTTCTATGGTGATTTAAATCACATAGTATTAATAACCCCCTAAAGCACTGAGAGACTAAAACGGTACAACATTTGGTACTTTAAAAAATAGACAAACATGAAATAAACTTTTGGAAGCATTTGATTAATTAATAACTATAGGATCACTGATTTAAATCACATAGTATTAATAACCCCCTAAAGCACTGAGAGACTAAAACGGTACAACATCTGGTACTTTAAAAAATAGACAAACATGAAATAAACTTTTGGAAGCATTTGATTAATTAATAACTATAGGCTAGGCTGCAACAATACTGAGCTTCTTCCTCACTGAAAATGTGTAAACTGAATAAAATGCTGTTAGGTGGAGCTTAGCTCCTGGTGGCAGTACTTAGTCAAAATACTAAAAACCCTAGGACAGAAGCAGCAAGTGCAGGGTTCTAGAAGTCTCAGTTTCAATGACTCAGAGTCTGAAATAATAAATATATTTTTAAAATGTGAACTGGTTCATGCATAAATGACTCACCTTTTAATCTGAACCCTCCCCCTGGCCCCCAGGATTTTACAGCATGTGCCAAACATCAGCAAAGCTGTATTTTTAAAACATAAGCATTTTATTTTAATAAATAACAGAGATGCTTAAAATTAAATGAACAGTCAAGTAATTTTATCTTTTAAACTTAAATTAGAAAATAACCCCCTCTTACCTGTCCGGGTAGTCCCTCCTCCTGGAGGAGCCTTGGCTGCCATGTCATCCCATCTCAAACTCGCCCACAGTAACCGTAACATCAGGCTCACTCCAGCTAAGGACTTTACAGTCTGAAGTCTATACCTGAAAGAAAAACCCAAGAAAAATTATACATGTACGTGTGTGTATATATATATGCTACAAACACACACTCAACTAAACCAAAGGATTATGTTTCTTGTCCTCATTATGACTTCAGTATTCATAATATGGTTTTGTACAATTTATGGCATTATATGTCCCTTAAAAGAAGAGCTTTTTTGTTCACAGGCGTAACATGCATCTAACAACTTAAAGGGTCTATATTCACTTCAAATGCCACATAAATTTGTAAAGTGAGCATGTTTCATTGTAGGGTTGATATGGCAATAATTTATAAATTATTTATAAGAACTATATATAAATTAAACCTAATTCCAAAATATCTGTTAGAAAACTTATAAAAAGCAAATATAGAGAAATATATAATTATGTTACTAAACGTGATAAAGGAGTTTTGAAGAAGGATAAAATCTTGACTGATTAATTTTTGCTAAAATAAAAAAACTGAAAATGTTTAAATTTTCTCAAAAAGCAAAACAAAACCAAAAACCCTTGCAAATCAAATAAGACCTTTCCAAATGGACACAAAATTTTATATCCAAATGGTGGTTCCTCAAAACATGAACTACTGGATGATGAATACTACTAATATGATAAAACTTTTACAACATTAGTGTAGTTTTGGAATCCTACAATGAAAAATAGAACATCATTAGAAAAAGGACAATACTGTATTAGTTACTAATCAGGTAACAAAGAAGTCTCTGTTTTTTCCTAAGCATTGTGGGTTAAGTTATTGAATAATTTAGACATTCTTTTAAAATAGTACCAAAAACACATTTCAAAGTAAATGTACTCAACTGCAATGAATATCATGTCCTAAAATGGAATTCACTATAAAACATTTTAAAGCAGTTTTAGGCTATCAATTCTCTTATTAGGATCTTCAATTAAATATTTTGCTGACATTTTCACATTACTTAAATAAATATACTGGTTGATTGCAGTGTAGAGAAAGCCTATAAAATGAAAATAGTTTCCTCCTCTAACAGAGGTAGAAGATAAATCTTACACAACTTTGTATCTGAAAGGCAATGCTTTCTCCTGTTAACATTACGTTGGTAAAATGAACAGTGTGAGAAAGGGAAAGCACTAGCCAAAAAGTTATTGCAGCTTCTTAACTTCCCATTTCCACTTGTGACATTCTTTGTTGTGTTATCACACTATGAATCCTTTGACCAAGATAGAACAACTCTTAGAGGGGAAATGTTAACTAGTGCGGGGATGTACCAAGAGGGGAAGTGTCTGTCACTTTCAGATCACACCCTATAGAAATTCCTAGGGAACTCTAGTCTCATGGGAGAAAGCATATGAACATCTACTTGGAAAGAAAATTTGTTCTCATTCTTTTTCTTCTTCCCCCTCATCACTCTCTATGGTCAAACAATAACTTTAAGGCACCCCTATTTTAAAATGGAAATAACGCCAGGGGAGGAACACACCTCATGAATTACCACGAATATATCAGTCTGCTCATTCAAAAAATATTTGAGTGTCTTCTATGTATTAGACTATGTGAAAGGAGATGTGGACACAGAAGTGAATTAGAATCTTTCTCTGTGTTCTCAAAGAACTGAAAGGAAGGAAAAGGAAAGGCACAGACATCTGATTAGGCTCAGGGGTGGGGACCAGAGCTTTGCTGGAGTCTCAAAGGACAAGTTAACGGTGTGGGCCTGGCTGACCAAAAGCAAAGGGCACACATATGCTAAGGAGGTAAGAGTGCAAGAGTGTGCACTTCTTCCCAGAAACCACATCCAGTATGTTATGGCTGGAAAGAAGGGATGTGGAAGTGCAGAAAGAGATGAAGCTGGCACAAGAGAGGAAGGCGGAAGCCAGAATGTGCTGCACCAAGTTGAAGAATTAAAAAAGAGCAGGAAAGGCTATGTACTAAGGCCTCTGAAACTATCCAGTATTGAGTAGGTTGTAAAGGGAAGTACTTCTCACAGATGTGATCTACAGGTGACAAATGCTTTCCCCTCTTCTCCCTGCAGTAGTTAGCAAGTCCCTCGCCTCAGTCAGAATATTCACGAGATAGATGGGCACTTTGAAAGCATCCTTCTGGCAGCACTGGGGAGGACAAATACCAGTTCCAAGTGATAAGGAAACACAGAATCAGGGCCTGGGGAAAAGTGTAGAAGGGAATGGACAGTGTAGAGGGGGAAAGGCCCTAATGAGTCTATGAGAAAAATTTCACTTTTCAAATGTTGCTCAGTCTAATCATTAAATTAATAAAGATCATACATGCACCTTTGGCATTCTTAGCTTCTACTCGAAGCATCAGACATATTTTATTCAAGTGTTAGTATAAAAATGCATTTCACACGCATGGTTTTTACAGTGATATGTTTTTAAAAAATGCATTCTAAAGTTGAGAATAATTTACATATTTACCCATGCCTCCATTAGACAGAAGGGATGTTTCTCTCAACTTCAGCAAATTAAGACATTAGCAAGTATTTGAAGGCAATATCTGTTTAAATGTACAGGAAGGTATTTCCTTCCATTAAAAAATGAGAAATTAACTAAACAAATTGTGCTGCAGAGCATATTAAAACATAATAATCCAAGGATCCTGAAACCCAGCTGTGCAGAAAAGGGCCCCAAGCAACACTTGGATTAGGACTGGTGACTAGTTTTCTTTGAGAGTTCAGAGAAAACTGCTTCCCAGTTGAGCCTCCCTTCTGTTTCAGAATAGAAAATAGCAGAAAGGTCGGCCTCCACAACTGCTAAGTCATATTAATTAAAGTATTTGTACACAGTAACTTTTCCAGTGGGAAAGAAGTTACCTGCAGGACAGTCAAGGATACATTTTGGGACCGCTCTCAATGAAGAAAGCAGAAAAGTGCAGAGTAATCCTACAAATCCATGAACTGTAATGAAGAGTTCCTTGATTCCCTGCAGGATTCTGCAAATCCTTCATTGCAGGCCCTGCAGAGAAATTGTACTTTTCAGCTGTCTCTATTGAATGTGTAATGGAGTGATGATATTTTATTTAAAATCAAAAGATGAGTTATAAAAAACTTGGTCAAACAAACTATGACTGGTTGTATTAATAAATTAATTCCTTTATAGAGAGTACTTATTTACTTTTTTTTTTTTTGGTCTTTTCTAATACTAGCTGATAGCAATATAAAGGAAACCAAAAAGTGTGATTTTAACTCAAAGAAATTGGAAACATATTAAAAGACACACAGAGATGAAGCCTAAAGAGAAATGAAGTCTGCTCAGTAACTTGCTAAAATAATAATTTCAGGATCCTAGCAAAATCTAACTGCCACTAAGATCAACCCTGATGTCTAAGCACGTTCCTAGAACTCTTATGTTTTCAATGTTTATGTTCCATACTATAAGGGTGAAAGATAAAGACAAAGACATGAAAAAGGACAAAGCAAGGACAAATTTGTGAAATGTGATAGCAGATAAAATATTAGACTGGGACTTAGGAAAACTGGGCACTATTCCTAATTCTGTTCCTATGTAGCCATAGGCAAACTATTGTACATTTATAAAAGATGAGGATTTATAAGTCCCTTCCCAGTATAAAACTACATGATTTTACAACTGTCAACATTGTACTCAGGACTCATCCCCCAAATCTAAAGTGCCCAGAAAATTTTAAATTAGGACTGTTTCTGGATTTCAAAAAAATTCCTAAGGAATCTTAGAGACTACCTTTTCTTACATAAATAACAGAGAACTCAAAAACAAATGTTTATCATGCAAATAAATTACATTAGGAAGATTTCCACATGATGAACTTCATGAAATTTACAGGCATGTTTCCTAGTCTTATGTGTTTATCAATTACCCAATAGAAATAAGATACAAACATTCCAGAAAGGTGCTGATTAGCCAATTCTGGGATTATCTTGTTCCCAGAGCAAATACATGGCAATAACTTGGAAAATTAGACCACAAAATCCACATTTGACATGTTCTTTTTGTCTTGTGAAAGTTAAAATTGAATTTAATTTTAAAGGGTTCCCTTAAATTTTAAGTCTTTAAACACTTTTCCCCACATAAACTTCAGTACCTACCAGCTGGCTGAGTTCGAAGTTTTCTGTATTTTATTTCCATAATTAACTTTGGCCATTAAATACATGGTTCCCTGTCTTATCTGTTATTTCATTTTTAAAAAGATATTCTTTTAAGAAGATTTTAAGAGATACTCTTATGAAATAATTCTTTAAAAATTTTCTCGCTCCCCAAAATACATTTTAAAGTACATACCTCCAAGTGATACCAAAGGTTGGTCTAGGAGAGGGATATGGCCATATATCCAAGGCAGGTTTTGCATTGTAATTAAAATAAGGGACTTCTCGGATTCCTCCTTTTCTGGCCAACTTTTTTAACTCATCATTAGGTAAAACAAATATGCTCTTCTTGCTGCTCTTGGTAATAAACTTTCTATAGGACGGCAGAGCTGTACCTGAGCGAGTCTTCTTTGGTCTTGTAAATTTCATCAGTTTCACTTTGTCTCTTGTGGAATACTCTTTGCTCACAGTCATCGATGTTACCAGTGTGCCTCCTGCAGTGGTCAGTGAGTCTGTCACTGTTGTGGTGACCACGGTCTTGCTCTGCTCCTTTACAGAGATGATGTCCACACTGCTGCCTGTGGAAGGTGTGGAATGTTTTGTTACTGTTGTAGTGGTGGTTGTGACAGTGGATTTGGCACAATTTTCTGTAGAAGAGACCACAGTTTGCTTATCACCTTTTGCTACCTTGATCACGGTTTTTGATTCTGTGGCCACTGTCGATGTCATTGTGGTGACTTCTGTGATGACTGTTTTTCTTTTAGATTCTCCATTGACACTTTCATCTTTGTTGGTGGGCAGACCATTTTCATCCATAAAATCATTACTGAGATTAGATTCCTCCCCAGAAGTAATAGGTGATGGAGTAACTTTCTTAACTTCTGAGGTTTCAATTTCCATATCTTCTACCTGATTCACTGAATTGCTTTCTGGACAAGATGGTGGAGGCGTGGTAGTCTGTGTACTGTCAGACTCTTTGGTTGATGGCAGGGTCTCAAGGCTATCTCGGTAGTCACTTTCAGCATCTGAAGAATTCAGTAAATGCGATTTTGGTTCCAAGTTTTTTTCATTAAAATCTTCCATAATGACATCACCATTAATGAATGGCTTTACAGCAGATTCTTTAACAGTCAGGGACTTAATATCCTTTTCAGGAAATATTTTATTTATATTATTAACTTTTGGTTCACCATTACCACTCACTACTTTACTCTCAGAGATTTCTTTCAAGCATTCATCTTTCAAATATACTTTAGATTTATTATCTTTTCCATTTATTTGAAATGTACTTGCTTTCTGTCCCTTCTTTTCAGACTCTCGATTTTCATTATTCTTTTTATCAGTGATATTTTTCACATTTATTTGATCAATACATTTCTTAACTGGTCTCCCCTCTGACTTTTGCTGTTGACTTGGTTTTTTACCATTTGCTTCTGTTACCTTACCCTGCAGCCTGGCATCACAGTTTCCAGTTGACTTATCAGAAACAAACTCACATTTCACTGGCTCCAAGCCTGTGATAACTTGTTCTTGAGTTAGGAACTGTTCAGAAATACTTTCATTGCTGTTCTGAACGATCATATCTTCTTCACTGCTATCCTGAATAGACAGAGTATCAGAACTATTTTCCAAAGTGTTATTATATTCAGAGTCACATCCCAGTTTTCCTTCAAAGTCCATTGCTTTTGACAGAGATGGGGCATCTCTGTCACTGGAACTTTTAGGTAGTGATGGCAGTAAAGAGCTCTTGGAAGGAAAAATAATGGTGTCATTATCCTCCAGCATATGTGGTTTTTTTTTCTTATAGATCAAAGTACCAATATCACCTACTTTGTCTAGTTTAGAGTCATCAATGAAAAAATCACTTCCTTCTGTTATAATTTTACTGGGTTCCTGGCCTTTACTGGCAGGTTCAGAGAGATTAACTTCTATGTCATTTTCAATAGAATTTTGTTTCCCACAGTTTGTCTCTGGGCTCTGAATGGAGACATCATCTAACACTTCATCTTTTGGATACAGTTTGTTTGTGGTATGACTAGAATCAGTGACCCCAAGAACTGAGGAATCACTTTGTGAACATCCCTGAATCAAGTCCTCAGACATATCACTACTTGCACTAAGGCTTTGTTCTTGTATAAGCAAGTCACTTTGACACCCTTCTTTTGCTTTTGTTATTATTGATGACTCAGAGAGACCTTTTAAGGTATTTGCAGAAGTCTTTCCTATACCCTTAATTCCACCCTCCAACTTCATTTTTTCGAGGCGCTGTTTTTCTTCCAGTGTAAACTGTTTAATTCTCCTTTCAAGAAGTCCATCTAGTTTGGATGATTTTATTTTCTTTTTATAACTAGTCCTTAGATGAAAACCCTCACTGACATTGACCACATCTACTTGAGAACTTTCCTGACAATTTATATGTGCCTCTGTTTTCACATCATCATCTATTTCCATTGGTTCTTCCTTGAAGGATTTGTCATTATCAGAATCTAAAAGTTCTTTTACATCTGTAAAACAAAGACAGTTATATAAATATAATCATTGCTCTGGAATGAGGAATTCACGAGAATATTTTAATTTCTAAAAGTACCTATTTTTCTTATTTTCACTCTGGAGCTTAATTTTAAATATCTACATATTTCAAAGTTCCTCATATATAATTAAAACAGGTCAATGGACAGGGGTAAACTTAATAAAAGGTCACAAAACACACATATGCCAAATATTTAAATATCCTCATTCTTAGTATCTAAAAATGATGAAATGACATAATGAAAAATTAGTATGTGACAAACTACTGAAGACAGCAGTACCTTCATGTAAGATTTTGTAGTCTTTTATAGTTACACAATATCTTTAGGTGCATGCATTACCTAGCTTACCTAGTTTTTAAAAAAACTTTTTATAGAATACAATGTAAATTCCTCAAAGGTTAATCAAAAAGTTACCATATGATCCCATAATTCCACTCCTATGTATATTTCCAAAAGAAGTGAAAACATATGTCCACAAAAAGACTTGTATGTGAATGTTCATAACAGCATAATTCTTACTATCCAAAAAGTGAAAACAGCCCAAATATCTGTCAGCTGATGAATGGATAAACAAAATGCAGCACATTCATAAAATGGAATATTATTCAGAAATAAAAAGGAATAAAGCACTGATAGACGCTACAACATGGATGAATCTTGAAAATACTATACTAAGTGAAAGAAGCCAGCCACAAAGGGCCACATATTGTCTAATTCCATTTATACGGAATGTCTAAAATAGGCAAATGCATAGACAGAAACTAGATTGGTGGGCTGGGAGCATTTGGAAAGGGATTGGGAAGTAACTGCTTATGGGTATGAGGCTTCCTTTTGGGGTGATGAAAATGTTCTAAATTGGTTGTGGTAATGGTTAAACAATTCTGTGCATACACTAAAAACCACCCAATTTACACTTTAATTGGGTATTGTATGGTATATAAATTATATTTCAATAAAGCTGTTATCAAAAAAAGACAATGCAGTACCTGTTGTGGGAACCTGATCCAGTGCATTCTTATCAGCCCCAGGCTGCCCTCCTTGCTCCACTCTCCTTACCTTGGTCCTTCTTCTCAGTAATCTTTGAGATATCCATTTCACTTTGGTCTGCTCCTTTTGCAGCATCTGAATCTTTTACCTCTTCTTTCTCAGAATCAGGCTCTGTTTTTATTTTGGGGGGGCTTCGTGGACTTTTTCTTTTATCTGATTCATCTGTATTTTCATCCATATTACTTTTGGCTAAAAAGAACAATGTGTATGGTAATTAAAGGTATTTCCAATATTAGCAACTTAATATATCTAGTTTAGTGGAAATAATCAAGTATTTATTTTCCAGCAAGTTATATTTTGTTATTTTTTATTAAAACAAAAGTTAAAGATACCATATACTTCTTTTTAAAATTTTTAATTTTTAAAGGTTGACACACTGTAATTGTACATTATTTATGGGGTACATTTTGATGTTTCAATACGTATGTGTTATATTATGATCAAATCACAGTATTTAGCATATACGTCACCTCCTGCATTTATCATTTCTTTATGGAAAGAACATTCAAAACCTATCTTCTATTTTTAATACATAATACCTTACCAGTAACCACAGTCATCTTAGTGTGCCTCCTATCCAACTGTACTTGTTGACCAACTTCTCCCCATCCCCTACCCAGTCTCTGGTGACCAATCACTGTTCTATCCTCTGCAACCATATACTTTCTTATATGCCTGGCTGACCTAAAGCATAAAAGAAATGACCATATTTTAGATGTGTTTCAGAAAACTTTGTTTACGAAATATAATCTCGATGATTCCAGAAGTCTGCATCACTGGTTCCTAACTAACATACTTTATGTCACAGAACCCTATTAGAATCGGATAAATGCTGGGCTGAGCCCGTGGCGCACTCGGGAGAGTGAGGTGCTGGGAGTACAGCAGCGCTCCCGCTGTGAGTTCGGATCCTATATAGGGATGACTGGTGCGCTCACAGCACTCACTGGCTGAGCGCGGTGCGGCCGGTCTCAAAAAGGACAAAAAAAAAAAAAATTGGATAAATGCTATGATCCTCTACCTAGAAAAAAAGTATTTACACAAACTTTTGTAATCTATTTCAATGGACTCTTGGACCTCTTCAAGTTTACAGGTGGACTCCAGGTTAAGAACATTTAAACCTCTATCACAGACTAAAAGATTTAAGAGAAATAACCAAATGCAATGTGTGGCCTTGTCTGTACCTGATTTACTGCCAACAGTAAAAAGGTATCTCTAGGACAACTATGGCAATTGCAAAATGAGCTGAGAATCAGATGATTAATTTGTTAATTATTGTTAATTTGTTGAAATGTGATAATGGCAAGATGATTATAGGAAAAAAAAATGTTCATTTCAGTTAGAGATACATACTAAACTTCTTTTGGTGAAATAACATGATTTCTGGGTTGTGGTTTAAAACACCGTAGGATAAAAAAAAAAGTAGGAAGCGACAACTAAAATGAGAGTGATAGGATTTGATCATAGAACTTGGCAACTTTTTCTGATGTTTTTCAGTGGCTCAAAAAGAGCTTTATACGGCAGTGGCAACCCCTTCTAAAAGCTATAAGAATCCTGATATTTAAAAGAGACAACTATATAATGTTTTAACTCCATGCTAAAGGTCTTCTTGCCATAAAGAATATCATACTTATCCTTTACTGAAGCCTAAATTGAACATGCAACAAAAATGCATAGTTTTAGAGCTATGCTAGAGGTTAGAGACAAGGGACACACAGTCAGCATCCAAACAACCTAACACTCTGCTCTTCTGACACCATGTCGAGTGTTCCGTCAACTGTGTTTCTCCCTGTTTTTCAGCACACTTGTACCTCCATCACACCATCAGACTAGATTAGCCATTATTATAGGGACCAAGAGTTCTGACATTATTAATTTGTGGCTATGACTGCCTTCACTCTAATTCCTATTCTGTAGTTAAACTAAGCCCAGATCCCTGGACAATGAGCACTGATGCTTTCTCCCCTGCTACCATCTGGGAGGAAAAGATTAAAAAAGACCAACTTGGTACCTGACTAGATGAAGGCCCAGCATTTGAACAATAAAAAAACCCTATGCTAAGGAAAGTGGTTATAAAACAAATCTGCAAGAGTCAAAATATTCTGTATACTAATCATCTGGATTTTATTACACAGGTCAAACCAGGTTAGATATAATTCAACAATAGGCTCTCTATAATTCTAAGCACCACATGGGTAAGTGGAGCGATGGTAATAAAAAAAACTGAATGATCTTTTGGAATTTACTATAATGTATATTAAGTGTGACTATAATTAGATAATAATAGAATTGACTACTGGATATTTCTATTTAGTAAATATTAATTATTTATTGAGCATCTACTATATCCAAGATGTTCCTAGGCCCTATAAAAACAAATTCCAGTGAGCCTTATAAAAACATATTTTTCCTGTTAACAGATAAACCAATGATAACTTTCCCATATTAACAGTTTCACAAATCTACCAGTCTAGGTTTCACAAGGACCATTCACAAAGAAGCCAAATCGGTTAGCTAGGTAAGTACACATCACTTATCATGCACTATATAATCCCCTCACATAGGTTTCATAGGAAAGAGCACATCACAGTGTAAATTAGCAAATTATATTATGTAGCTAACAGAATTGCTTTTGAAAACTGCTTAGGTAACAAAGGAGAGTCCACATGGTAGACAGCAAAAAGGGCAATGGAAGCCAGGAGTCAAGGGTTCTAGCCTGGGTTCTACCACTCCGTATCTGTGTGAACTTCAATATATCACTTAGCATTGCCATTAAATAATTTGCTCATTTAACAGGAGTTTAAAAATACATGGTCTGGGCTGGTCAGTTAACTCAGTTAGAGCATGTTGCTGATAGCACCAAGGTCCAGGGTTTGATCTCTATATCAGACAGCTGCCAAAAAATAAAAATAAAAAAAATAAAAAATAAACTCTAATGTTTTTCAGTTAATAGTAAAAACTGAATAGCTCATTTACCTGACAATGTTACGGAAACCTCTAAAACTTCCCTTCTGGTTTTTTATATGCAGTAATGGTTAAGTTACCAGATATGTGATTCCTTGAGAAGTCAATCAGTACTGAATTTAAGATTTTGGAAAACATTTCTCAGGTGGCTGAGGCCTTTTGTAAAATACAAGTTCTATTCTATAATCGTTAAATCCTAGATATAAAAATCCTATGAATAAAGGTAATTTTTAAAACTTTAGAATTTGTAAACTACATTAGTAATTTTGCACATATTATTAAAAATTTCAGAAAAACACTTTTATCTAAAATATGGTCAACATATTACAAATTTATAAGAAATAATACAAATCAGAAACAATTACACAGAAAAAAATAACTTCAATTTACTTACTTCCTTCTAATGACTTCCTGTAATTCACATTAGTATTGCCTGGCAATTTAGGAACAAACCTATAAACATGAGTTTTACTAATCCAGTTCCAACCACCATATCCTGTTACTCTGTACTCCTCTCCTTTTTGTTTCCAAACCTGGTATAAATGAAAGCACTGTGATTAAACAACAAGAATGATAATGCCTATAAAGCATGTGTGGTTTTATACATTTTTACCAAACAAGGTTAACAGGCAAGTTAATTAAATTTTACCAATCAATTTTCACTAGAAATTAAAGATTTATGAAAGAACTCAATACTCCTTTCTAATATGTAAAATTTAACACAATTTCAGTTTTATAACAGTTTCAACAAATTGGTCTCGTAACACTCTTATGTTCTACTATGATAAACCTGTGCTTATAAAATTACCAGGAAGATGTACTTTGTCCCAACTATATTAATTAAAAGATTACATCAAGAGTAAAACAAAATTATTGAGTGTTCAAAGATGCAGAATAAAAGTTTCAGAAATGGCTAATACTATTTTAAAAGCTTATAACAAAATTACCTGATGTTTAACTGGAAATGTATATTTTACCCATGTAGCTTGCTGCATTGTTTCTTCCTCTTCTTGTTTTTTCTCCTTTTTTTTAACTTTCTCTTTCTCTTCTCTTTCAATTGATGTCATCCTGTGTAACCTAAGAATACAGACACAGTACAGATTTAATGCAATCCCTATCAAATTACCAGTAACATACTGCACAGAACAGGAAAAACAATTATAAAATTTATATGAAAGAAAAAGAGACCCAAACAGTAAAAGCAGTCCTGAGCAAAAAGAATAAAGTGGGGACATCACACTCCGTGACTTCAAATATATACTACAAAGCTATAGTAATCAAAACAGCAAGGTACTGGCACAAAAACAGACATATAGACCAATGGAACAGAAGAGAGAATTCAGAAATAAATCCACATGCCTATAGCTAACTGATTTTTGATAAAGGAGCCAAGAACATACATGGGGGAAAGGACAGTTTCTTCAATTAATGGTGCTGGGAAAATTGGAGATCCACATGCAGAAGAGGGAAACCAGACCCCTATATCTCACCATATATCAAAATCAACTCAAAACAGATTAAAGATTTAAATGCAAAACCCCAAAATATAAAACTTCTAGAAGAAACACAGGGGAAACATTTCAGGAAATAGGACTGGGCAAAGATTTTATAAATAAGACTTCTAAAGCATAGGAAACAAAAGCAAAAACAAACAAATGTGATTATATCAAACTAAAAAGCTTCTGCACAGCAAAGGAAACAATCAACAGTGAAAAGACAAGCTGTAGAATGGGATAAAATATTTGCAAACTATGCATCTAACAAAGGATTAATATCCAGAATATACAAAGAACTCAAACAACTCAATAGAAAAAAACCCCAAATAATCCAATTAAAAAGGGCAAGGGAGGGCCGGCCCAGTGGCGCACTGGATAGTGCGCCGCTTGGGAAGCGCGGCGGCGCTCCCACCCGAGGGTTCGGATCCCACATACAGACCGGTTCCCGCTCACTGGCTGAGCGAGGCGCGGGAGCGACACCGAGGGTTGTGATCCCGTTGCCGGTCCCCGGTCCGGTACGGGGGCAACACTGAGGGTTGCGATCCGTTGCCGGACACGGAAAAAGACAAAAGACCAAAAAAAAAAAAAAAAAAAAAAGGGCAAGGGAGAAGAACAGAAATTTCTCAAAGGAAAATATATAAATGGCCAACGGGTAAATGAAAAAATGCTCAACATCACTAACTGTCAGAGAAATGCAAATCAAAAACACAATGAGATATTATCTCACCCCAGTTAGAATGACTATCATTTAAAAGATAGAAAATAACAAATGCTGACTAGGATGCAGAGAAAGGGAAACTTTTATTCCTTGTTGGTAGGAATGTAAATTAGTACAGCCATTATGGAAAAGAGTATGGAGATTTCTCAAACAACTACAGATAGAAAACTACCATATTATCCAGCAATCCCGCTACTGGGTATATATCCAAAGGAATGGAAATCAAGTTGAAGGGACACCTGCGCTCCCATGTTTATCGCAGCTCTATTCACAATATCCAATAGTAGGAACCAACCTAAATGTCCATCAACAGATGACTGGATAAAGAAATGTGGCATATATACACAACAGAAAACCACTCACCATAAAAAAGAATGAAATTCTGCCATTTGCAGCAATATGGGTGAGCTTGGAGAAAATTATGTTAAGTGAAATAAACTAGGCACAAAGAGAAATACCACATGTTCTCACTCATGTGGAAGCTAAAAAAGTTGATATTATAAAAACAGACTGTAAAATAGTGATTACTAGAGACTAGTAAGGGGAGGAAGGAAGGGGGGAGAGGGAGAGGTGGTCACTGGATACAAAATTGTAGAAGGACAGGAAGAATAAGATCTAGTGTTATATAGCATTTATAGGGAGACTATAGCCAACAACAAATTGCTGTATAACTTCAAGTAGCTAGTTGAGAGGATGTTTAATGTTCCCAATATAAAGAGATGACAAATGTTTGAGGTGATGGATATGCTAAACACCCTGCTATGATCATTGCACATAGTATAAATTGACTCAAATATCATATTGTACTCCATAAATATATACAATTATCATGGGTCAATTAAGAAAAAATAAATTAAATAGAAAAAAAAATGTTCAGAGACAGAAGTAGATTAGAGGTTGCCAAAACAGGGTGGGAAGGAATAATGGGAAGTTATTGCTTGACGGGTACAGAGTTTATGTTTAAGATGATAAAAACTTTTAGAAATAGAGGTAGTAGTTACACAGCACTGTGAATGTAATTAACTCCATGCAATTGTATATTTAAAAATGCTTAAAGTGGAAATTCTGACATTATATGTTTTACTATGATAAAAAAAATAATAATACATGGATAGAAAGGCAGAAATTACATTTAACTTTGAAAAATAAACAAAAAAGATAAAAACGCAATACTCAGGATGACCAAATCTCAACCTACAACCCAGACAACCCCAACTGACAAAAATAAGTAGATGTACAATTCGATAATGGGAAAATCAAAGAGGACAAAAAGTGCTATCCTTTCCCCATGTCTCCGCATAACAAATATTTGTGATTTATTCCTGAAATACTTCATTCATATACCAGCATTTATGTATCTCTTTATGACAATACACACACACTAGTTTTTAACCAATGAATAACTGCGCTAAAAGATCTTGCTATGTCAGATACACAGATCTTTTTAAAGAATTAAAAAGTATAACACTGCATTGACATAATTTACTGAACCAGTGCCCTATTAAAGGATACTTTATTTCTAGAGTTTTTTCCTTCTAAAGAACAACAAATCTGAACTTTTATTTTATCAACCAATATTTCTGATTCTTGCTAGTACGAGGAATTTTAAAACCTTCACAGGGTCCACAAACAGAATTTAGGCTTCCTACATCCACAAAGAAAGGGCCGCCGTAGGGCTCCCTGGTGAGAGGAAGGGTCAGGAAGGAAGGTCCACCTTGATCATTAGATGTAAGGCATAGGTCATACTCTTTTCTCAGGCAGGAAAAGTTTTCACTGCACCTACCAGTAATGCGCAGACCTATGGTGAGGCTCTACATTTAGGTGATTAGATTTTCATGAATGGGAATATTTTTCATAAACAGAGACTAAACCAAAACCTATAGAGAAGCTTCTGTCTCTAAAACCTCTAGTAGAAGAAGAATTACTCTTATCACACCCTAACCAGATATAGTCAATTTCTTATGCACAGCTATGTGAAAAGAAGAGACCTGTCACCTTGGGGTAGTGGTGCTGGAAAGATGTGGGAGAGAATTTCATTCTTTTTATCTCCACCTCCCTCTCCCCGACCCCTATTCCATCCTTCCCTCCCAACTTTTAAGAGGTCTTTGTGTCCCTATGACTATAGGACCCCAGAATGCACCCTCCCCGAGGCCGAGAGTTCAGGCCTACTAACTGCACACAACTCCATAAGGCTCTTACAGATTTTTGTCAATGATGGGAGGAGGGGAAAGGGAGTGGTGTCTTACAGAGAACTAACTTCCTGACTCAAATACCATCCATTTGCCAGCACTCTCAGAACTAGGGAGTGGGACAAGCTCTGCAGGCGCGGCAAAGGGAATAACCTGAGAGTCTCAGCCTACCGGAGGAAGGAAGACAGTGACTACACCAGGACCAAGTAGCATTTTTCAGAGAGCTTCTGTGGGCTTGGCTTCTACACACCTCTGAAAGGCCAGGTCTAGCACAACTGAGCCATCTTTGCTGACAGTGAATGGCCAGGAATGGAGCACTGTGTGGAGAGCTAGTGCAGAGACATTCTGGGAGCTCACAGCTGGGCAGGGTGCTCAATTTGTGCTCTTGGTGTTCACAAGGTAAACAGGTCCTTTCTCACCACCAAATACAAAGGCTTCACTTTGCTGAGGATGCCAGGCCAGGGAGGTGGAATCACAGCTAATCTGTGATGCCAAGCTACCCCAGAGTAAAATCTGTTGTTCTTACAGCCACCAAGACAATCCTTATGGGGAACAGCAGCGGCTCAGTGAGCTCAGTCGTTTGTGGGGCAGAAATCTTTGCTACTGGGCTGACCCTGTGGCTCACTCGGGAGAGGGTGGCGCTCCCGCGCTCCTGCCTCTGGTTCGGATCCTATATAGGGATGGCCGGTGTGCTCACTGGCTGAGCGCAGTGCAGGCGACACCAAGCCAGGGGTTGCGATCCCCTTACCAGTCACAAAAAAAAAAAAAAAAGAAATCTTTGCTACTGCTGGTAGCCTGGAGGCTCCAGGAAGGAAGCCTCTTTAGGCTGGAACTGCGCAGCCTCCAGCTGCCACTCCATACTGGCGGGCTCACTGGGTGGCAGGTTTTCCTTGCACATGTCCACGGTCAACTGAGAGTCAGACCAGGAGAATGAACTGAGCTTCAACTTCACTCCCAGTCTCCATGTGGTGCTCAGAGGTTTGTTGTGTTTGCTTTGCAATTACACTCAAAGCTAAAATAACATTTTATGTTTTTCTTGGTAAACTTCTGGAGTATCCTCCTATGTTCCCCACTGATGGGATGGCTGAGTCCAAAAGTTCTTGCACATAAAATGCTGACAGTGCAAATTGCTCCGCAAAACTGTGCACTTCACACTACCATCAATTATAAAGTCACCATGCCTTCTCATACTTTCACATAAGCTGAGCATCAACCTTCCGAACTGTTAGCCCAACTGAGAAATAAAAAATACTATTGTATTGTTCTTTAATTATGAGAAGTAATCACTTTTTATGTCTACTGGCCTTTCATATTTATTTCTCTGCAAAATTCCTGTTCAAATCTTTTGACTTGTTTGTAATGAACTATCAATCCTTTTCGTTTATAAAAGGTCTTTGTCAATTAAGAAAATTTTCCATTTGTGGTACAAATATTTTTCCTCTGTTTGTTATCTGTTTTTTGAATTTGATTATAATAATATTTTTCCACTCAGAATTTTAAATACATATATCCACTTTTTTCCTCTATGGCTTCTGGGTATTATATCTGTTTAAAAAGAAAGTTATCACAACAAAAACATAAATTAATTCATGCTTTCTTACTGAAGTTTTCTTTGTTCTTGTGTTTAGAGTTTTTGCTGTTTTTTTAAATCTTCATCAATCTGAATGTTTTTGC